CAATGCAATTTATATATTTTAAAAATGCTTTGACTCCAAAATTTAAGTCTAAGGACAAGTTACTGGGGAAAAGGATTTCTATTTTTGTTTCCACAAAAATAATAGGCATTCTTCAAACTTTTCAAGACCTACAGAATATGGCATTTAAAATGGCTTAGGTTTTTTTTTTTTTTTTTTTTGACAGTGAGATATAAATGCTCCTGGCAACACCATCTAAGTTAGAAAGGAAGATGGACATCACAGAAATGTGTTATGAAGTTACTTCCAATATGACAATACTAGCCATTTGGACAAGATACTGCTCTTGTCTGGACTGTTTGATTTTTATGCTGTATAAACTGGACATGCAGGACCCACAGAAAAGTGACTGCTGATTCAAGATGGACATTGCTACAGAGTTCCTGGCATACTGCCAGACAGTATGCAGGACACAGAGAAAAATGACTAACAAACTGCCACTACAGATGGACAGTTTAAAGTTTCCTGCTTTGCTGAGGAGTCTGCTAGACACACTATGGCCTATGGGCTGAAGATAGAAGATTACAGAAGAACTTCAGGTGACTGACCAGGCAGTAAGTTGTCTCTGTCATTTCTAGAGTTTATATATTATCCTTCTGTGGTCTTTGAAGGAGTTGAAGACAAATAGTTATGGTTATAGTTTACCTTAGTTAGGATTAAAGATAAGTTACTTAGACTTTAGACTCACAAAGATAGATGATGGAATATTTTCTTAAATCTTGCTAAATGTTAATGAACTAAATATTGTTAACTGTGATTCTTACTTGATAACTGTTGTGTTATATATTTTGCTATGTTAAGGTTAAAACCCTTCTTTTTATTTTATACAGAAAAGAGGAGATGATGGGAGATGTAATTCTGTAAATATGTTTCTCATACTGGTTAATGAATAAACCACTGTTGGCCAATAGGAAAGGAAGATAGGAGGGACTAGGAGACAAGGAGGAAAGAGGAGGTAGTAAGGAGGAGTCAAGATGGAGAGTCTGGAGAGAGCAGGACGTCCCGGCTCTCTGGTAAGATGAAAGCACGTGGAAATACATAGATCAACAGAAATGGGTTAATACTTAAGACAGAGCTAGCCGATAAGAAACTAGTACCTGGTCAACAGCGTTATATCAAATATAGAGTCTCTGTGTGTTAATTGGGGCAGGTGCAGCGGCGGGACCAGACCGCTGTTGGGCAGAAAAACTTTACTCCTTACACATGATCACATGCACATAGATGTAACAGAGCTGCAGTTCTGATGAAGTTAGAAAACCAGCAGTAAGGAACTAACCCTCACAAAAACTGGTGTATCACACCCACCTTCATGGACCCTTCATATCCCTGCATATTCCCATAAAGGACAAACTGCTCCCATGTTTGAGGGCAGAAAGGAATGAGAGAAACCTACTCTCTCGCGCCCCAGGCCTTCTTCTGGCCCGAGAACATGGCTTAAAATATTCTAGTCACAGTCAGGCTATTCAAATAACACAGAGTTTCAAACTGCATGGGCTTGTTGAGATAGTCAGGCTTCCAGGATGTGTGGAAGGCAGGGGGAGGGGTGGGACAGCGCCTGCCCCCCCCCCTGTAATAGCAGCAGCTGCAATGCTAGACCCATCAGAATGTCTCAAAGCCAAGTCAAACTGGAGTGGGCCTGACAGCGAGAAGCACATGAGAGCCACGGCAAGGCTTCCCTCCCCTGTGGCAACTTTAATTATTTGAACCGGAGCTAAGTGAAATAAAAATAAAAAAAAAAATCAGAATATATTGTAAGTGGCTCCCTAGTTTCCTGCAGAGACTAGCTTATGGAGGGGAAGGGAAACCAAAAAAAAAAAAAAAAAAAAAAAAAAACCCACAATGCTCTCTCTGTCTGTGGCTGGGCTAGGCAGGGGTCTTTAAATATTCATGCTTTATGTGCAACTGTGCAAAGAGCAGGAGGAGGAGGTGCCTACAGTAGTGGTTGGGCAAGAGAGGTAGCAGTAGTGGCTGCAGGTAGCCAGAGGGAGGACATGAGAGCTGGGAGGCTTCTGGAAAGCTCTGGAAGTTGGGTTGGCATAAGGCCCATGCTGGCTATATCTTCATTATTGGTGGGTGTCAGACCTGGCTCTATGTGCCCTTCCAGCCTCTCTGCCTCCTCCACCTGTTTCTGCTCCACCATTTCTAACTTCTTTTCTGACTCATGTTTCTAAGTGGCAAAATGCACACCCTGTTTGGGGTGGAAGGTATTGGGGGAAGCTTTGCATGCACTCAGAATGGATTCTGCTTGCCATTGCTTCAACAGCCAAAACAGCAGCAGCAGCAGCAGCAGCAGCAACAACAACAACAACAAAATCCAACCAAAAACTTTCACGATTTAGTGCCAGCCACTAAGTCATCAAGGGTGGAGATTGAAGATGTAGAGATCCAGCCTCAGTAATATCTTTCAGGAAGCCAACGTAGATCCTAAGAAAGCCCATTTGTCCATTTCCCAAGTGAATGCAAGTGGAGAAACATAGACTTAATAGTGGCTATTCCTAGATTTTGAGAGGCATTTGTCAAAGAGGACTTCAGTTTTCTGTGGGAATCCACTGAAGGATTTAGAATATCTATAGAGAGGGTACTTTTTATACTAGGCATTAGTCCTGAAGTCCAGGGCAACCAAGCTATCAGTCCTCATTGGGGACATCTCCCATACCTCTAACATTTATCCCTCTCCTTTATTTTTATTTTATGTGCATTGGTGTTTTTTCCTGCATGCATGACATGTGTGTCTGTGTGAGGGTGTTGGATCTCCTGGAACTGGAATTACAGACAGTAATTGAACCTTTAGAAGAATAGCCAGTGCTCTTAAACACTGAGCCATCACTCCAGCCTTCTTAATCTAGGGAAGCCTTTTTAGGAGTTGTGAGGTTAAAGACCTGAGTCAATCTTATGGACTGGAATAGCAACGGAACAGTCATTGGTGTCCCTGCTATTGGAGCTCAGCTACCCCGGAAGAAAGGAATCCATTTCCTACCTTCTGCATTGAAGAAGTGGGTGTATAGTGTGACATATTTTTCACCCCTGCCCCCATGACAAGAACAACATACTGCTCTTAATGCCGAGAGCCCATCAACCACAGATGATCAATGGTCTGAAAAGCTGTCCGTGAAGTCATGGTAGCATAAATATAAACAAACATGAATGATGTGAGTGTGGGGGTGGGGACCCACTCCTTTTCTTCCATTGTGTCTGCTCAGCCAAGTTCTGGAAAAGGGCAGGAAATAACAGAAACAGCCTAGAGCAAATCCAACTGGAGAAAAAAGAAAGTCAAGGAAACCTGTCTCAGCTATTGATCAACTCAAAGGTTATCATAGAAGTGACAGAATATTAGGAAAATATCGCTTTGCTTTGACATTTCTTTCTCTGAAATGAGGCTCACATTAAACCCAGCAAAGAATAAATTTAAAGACCAAATGCTCCTAAGGAGCCTCCTGTCCTCTCAGGTGGGCCAACCATCTGTCTCCAGGTTTCCTCCCAAGAAGCCTTCCCCTCTTTGTACCTGCTCTGAGGCATATCAACAGTGACTGTGAAATTCCATCTGCACGAGATACCATGGCTTCTCAAATACAAGTTATTTTAATGAATCTATTTATTTCTGCCCAGACTTCTTCCAAGAAGTAGTTAAGGTGGCTCAGAAATACACAATGCCTGATAAGATGATGTGAACAGAAGAGGGTAAGAAAGATGGGTCCCATGCATAGTTATAAAGTCAGGCAGCTACAAATAAATTTGTTTGCTTGCTAACCATTCATTTGATTAAAAATCATTCACATGCCTCTTCTGTTCTTTGTTTTATGGTGGAGTTTTTGTTTGACAAGAATGCTGGAGGGTTTGAATCTGGGCCCTTATCAAGGGGAGTCTGGTATACTTCTGACAGCTAAAGCCTTCCTTCCTAGGATTTTTACCAGCTGAAAGAGGGATGCAAACCTGGATAGTTTTAGAATGTCTAAAGTGTGAAAGGAAACAAATTACCTAGAGGGTACATAGCTAAAACTAAGTCAGACAGGAGTTTCTTCTGTGGATTTCCATAAAGAGGATGAGCTGAATCTATGTTCTGGTTGGCTTTCTGTTGTGTGCAAGACGAAGCTGCATGAGCCATTGGGTGTTCAAATGTCCCCAGGTATGACCTGTCTTCTGTGTCTCATGTCTGGCAGAGACCCTTTTCTTAGCCCAGGCTCCTTGTGTTCACACAGGTTGCCAGGCACTGTGGTTCCCATGGTCTCCTAAGCCTCTTACATGTGTTAACCTGGTTAATCTTCATCTATGTGGGCTGGCCTAGATAGAGAGAATAGCATATCCACTTCCCAGGTAAGGAAACTGATGTCCAAAGGGGTCAGTTAGCTGCCTAGACAAGTGGTACAGTAAGTCATTGTGGAAGCTGTTTCAGATTCAGGTCCTTGGTAGAGTACAATGTGCTATTTTGTGTATGGGCAAGTCCCTCATGCATTCTCAGCCCCCAGATACTATGACCCATATGTTAAATACCTCAATGCCTCATACTCAAGAGACAACAGCTTCAGGAACCACTTGGGTAGCGGCTTTGTTGTACCTGACTGAATACCAGTGATGTCTTAGTGAAATAATGTAAATAAAGTCTTTTGGTGCTTTTCAGTGTTCAAAATATATTTATACGAGCTTGATATTTTGAAAACACATTTTAAAGAAAGACTTGTAAATCCTATCACTCTTCTCTATTGTAGGAAATATTTTCCTGGGCTTGCTTAAATTAAGGTCCTACTGCCAAAGTGTGGTACAGCTGACAGCGGGTGGGCATTTAAGGTAAGACTCTGCTGATGGGTCTTCACAGTGTGGGTGAATGTAATGTGTATAAATATGGCAGAAACAGTTCTCCCATCTTCCCACAAGAGCTCGGTAAGCCCAGATGGCCAGGCTACTTTCTTATTCTGTTTTGAATCACCTGGAAGTGACCAAGGGGTGGGAGGAGAAGGCAGGGACCTAGAGGAATCACAGATACTTACCTCACAAGGAGAGTTCTTCATTGGTGCTGGGAATGTTGCACTGGTCACTGTTGCACTTTCAGAAGTGGGGACATCAGTGGTGCTGAGCAACAGGACATGGCCTGGGGAGGAAGGAAGAGAGTTACAAATGTATTGTATGCACTGAGGGGTATGGTTGGTGGACTATGCAGGGTCTGGTTTAGCACATCTTTGAGGATGCTGCTTTCTTGCCTACAGTGGAAAGGACCCCGGCTCATGCTTAGTCCTTCATTCCAAACTGCCTAGGAGGTCCCTGCACTATGCATCTGGCTACTACATCTCTACATTCTCAAGGTCATCAGCTTAAACCCAGGAGCAGCTGGAAGCAGGCTGACTCTCATGTATCATCAACTTCAGCCCTTGTCTTCCAATAGTCTCACAACCTTCAATCTCACCCTGCTCAAGAACTCAGGTCATCCCATGGCCCATGGCCTTTCCAAGGAGACCATTTTCTTGTCTTTCCTCAGTGTCATTTGGCCTGAAAATATGGGTGATGGTGAGCTGCCATTCATCTTGGTAGAAGGAAGAAAATTCTTTAACTCTCTAGGAACTACAGAGCATTTTTAAGATGGTCAGTGCTATGGAGATGGGAGCTCTTATCTTTTTACTGGGAACTGATCAAGACTGAATCATGGCTGGGTGGTAGACCCAGGTTCTCTACAGCCTGACTTTGGGAACTACACTGGTCATGCTGACCCTCTGTCTCTAACCCCTATAGCTGGTGTCCTGAGTTGATGTCAGCCACCTCCAATGAAGGTGACCATATCTTTATGGCAGAGCATGGGTAATGATGAGAGAGACTCCAGGGAGGGAAGTCAGTTATTGCTGGCTGAAGTTGGTGGGAGTGAGCAATGGCTGAGGAGCCTGGGACACAGAAAATAACCCAGCTGTGGAGCAAGGTCCCCAGGGCATAGTCCAGGCAAATGACTTAAGGCCTCCCTATGGCCTTAAGTCTTTTCAGGCATAAAGGGGGCTTATCTCTATTTCCCAATGCATTATGCAGGACTTCAGCACTGAATAAAAAGAATGGTTTTATTGGGATTATTGTGGCTGGTTTTCAGCTAATCCCTCATTAAAGCTCTACATTTAAGTAATAAAAGGTGACATTGAGCTTGGAAATGTTCAATAATTCTATAGCTCAGGAAGGGATGAAGAGGTGATCAGGTATGCACATCCCAGGTCAGCTTTGAGTGTGAGCATACCAGGTCAGCTTTGAGCAGAATACTGCATGTGAGGAGAAGCCTCTATGTGCTGAGTCAGGATCCTACATCTCTGATCTATCCACCTAGATACTAGGATGGACACCAGGGAGAAGGAAAGAGAGGGTGTTACCTTGGTGGTCCCAGGAATGGGCATCCTTTAGGGTCCTCACTTGCCACTGGGGCAAATGGAGTGGAAGTGGACCTTGGGTCCAGCCACAGAAGCTATCTTCAAAGTTACAGTAAAAACCAGCAGGAAGTTTACCTGTGGAGAGATTGTGGGGCACCATCATTATAGGTACACTAATGGAAAACCATGTAACACAAAGCAAATTGGCCAGGGTGATCAAGGTATCCTCATCAATGGTGGCCATCCAAAGAGAAGATCGATCCCAACTACCTGAATGACTCCCCTGTTGCGTGTGTGTGTGTGTGTGTGTGTGTGTGTGTGTGTGTGTATTAAGTGTGTATATTGATTAGTGATTCTCTGATCTTCACATTTAGAGTGAAATGGTAATAATAACTATACAGAGTTATTACAAAGCAGAGACTCAGAAATGCTAATCAAATTTAAACAGCCAAGACTCATCCCACTGGGACTAGAACCCAAGTTGTCTGCTTCTCAATTCTGTACTCTTAATGCTGATCTACTAAGAACATGGTCCAAAAGAGGATGATGCATAGTTAGATGGCTTCTATCTGTAATGGTTGACATGGTGACAAGAGTGTGGTGGTGGCAGAGGGAGAACTAACTGGGAGTGGCTGGTTTGAATTTCTCAAATCACCCCTGTCTGCACTGGCTCCACTTTGCTGGCAGTGAAGCAAAGCCACATGCAGAGTTCTGCACAGTGTGTTAGATGATCGGAAGTTGGGTGTGTCTTCTATGGCTCTAGTCTGTGAAAAGCCAACCTGGGTCCTGAAGAGCTGAGGCCTTGCCCACCTTAGCGCTCAGTGGACAGGTACTGCAAATGCTGGGTTAAGCAGTTGATGTTTGGGGATATTTAATTCTGGAAACATCACCTGGACAATCCTGCTTCAATAATCCAGGTTATAGTGGGCTCTTCATCTTCTAAAGGTTCAGTAGCAGGGGGCCCATGCTTTCTTTTATATAGGCTTTCTGTGCCATTTATTTTCCAGGGTTCCCCAGAAAGGGGAGGAATGAGAGCTCACTTTCTCCTGCTCTGAGCTGTTCTAGACTGGACTATTCCGACATCAGCAGCAGCTCCAGGCTGAGCTATGAGGAAGCATCAGGTTCCTCCCTCCAGGGGGAGAGGAGCTCTCTAAGAGACCACTGCACTCCATGTCCTTCCTCTGCCTCAGCTTTCTTGGCAGCACAGTGGCTGAGGGCCCTCCTGCTTCCTGGCTGTGACAGCACCTTAGTGAATTATTACTCATTTCCCCCTCGATTCTCTGTGCATTTCACACAGAGGCAGAATTATAAATTAAAACAGGCTGTCACTGACTCTAAGAATCTCTTCCCATTTATACCCCCCTGAAGAAATCATTTCCCCCAAAGCCCTGCGTGTTCTTCTGATTAAAAATCCAAAAGCTAAGGAGATCCTTCTGTTTTAGTTTTTACTCCCACCCTCAAGGGATCCCACATGTACTTCTTGCAAAGAAACCAACTGGCGTCTAGCAGTGACCTTCTAGGAGAGCCCTGCACAGGCTTTGCTTTAAAAGCCAAGGGTCACCTTGGCAGAGGGTAGGCTGGTGGGAGGAGTCAAGGGAGAGCAAGGGCTTGGAATGCCCCACCCCCACCCCTTACAGGTAACCCAGGGGCTCTAGATCCAACCTTTCCTTTCTGTTGGGTTCCCTTAGGGCAGTCACTTCTTCCTTAGACCCATTAGGCTTCCCTTTTGCAGTGTGTGTGTGTGTGTGTGTGTGTGTGTGTGTGTGTGTGTGTGATTAGTTTATATTTGGAAGGGTTGGGATTTTAATGGGGATTGCATTGAATCTGTAGATTGCTTTTGGCAACTGAAGAATGGATAAATATGTGACACATTTACACAATGGAATACTACTCTGTGGGAAAAAACAATGGAATCTTGAAATTCGCAGGTAGTGGATGGAACTTGAAGAAACCATCCTGAATGAGGTAACCCAGTCACAAAAAGAAGAACATGGTATGTACTCACTCATATATGGATTTTAGACAGAGCAAAGGATCACCAGCCTATAATTCACACCACCAGAGTAACTAGGATACAAGGAGGAATCTAAGAGATTCATATAAAGTTCCTCACGGAAGGGGAAAGGGACAAGATCTCCTGAGCATATGGGGAGTGGGGTGGGGGCAGTGAGTGGAGAGGGAGCTAGGAGGAAGAGAAGGGGAGGAGAGGAAAGCAGGTGGGACTAGGAAGATTGAGTCAGGGGAGGAATAGACAAGAGAAGAGAGAGAGAGAGAGGGAGAGAGAGAGAGAGAGGCAGAGGGGGAGGGTGAGGGAGAGAAAGAGAGAGATAGAGACAGACACACAGAAAGAGAGAGAGACACACAGAGAAAGAGAGAACATAAAAGAGGAAGCTGTTATAGGTTTGAAGAGAAAACTGAACCTAGAGAAATGTCCAGAGACCTACAAGACTGACCCCAACTAACAATTTGAGCAACAGTGGAAAGGCCACCATAAATGCCCTTCCCTGATAATGAGATTGATGAATAACTTATCCACCATCATAGAGCCCTCATCTAGTAGCTGACGGAAACAGAAGCAGACACCCACAGCTAAACACTGAGCCGAACTGGAACCCAGAACCAGAGAGAGAGGACAAGACCAGGCTACAGAAACACATAGAGACAGCTGACCTGAACAAGGAGGAACTAATGGGCCCCCAGTCTGATAGCTGGGAATCCAGCATGGGACTGACTCAGGCCCCTTGAACGTGGGTCTCAGCTAGAAGGCCTGGGCAGTCTAAGGGACCTCAGACAGTGTATTCCTGGTGCACAAAAGGACTTTGGGAGCACATCCCCCATGGAAGGATACTCCCTTAACCTAGAGACAGGAGAGAAGTTCTAGTTCCTACTCCAAATGACTTGACAGATTTATATGACTCTTCCTGGAAGGCATCACCATACATGTAGAATGGGGAGTCAATGGGAGGGGAGGGTGGTCGGGGGCCATGAGAGGGTGGGAGAGAGGGAAAGAGGGAAGGAGAAAAGAAAGTAAAAAGAAAAAAAGAAAGGGTTGGTTTTAGGGTAAGATAAAGAAAGGGGATGCTAATACTGATAAGCAAAATTGCGCAGAATTTATAAACCATGGCAGTGGTATTAGTCATTGCCATTTACAGCCATATCTAGGGAAGTCATTGGGGGAGGGGAATAAGCAGCTAGCACTACCCTCAGGCTACAGGGCAGGGACATGTCCTCCTTGCCTTTCAGGAAGGGTCTACTAGAGCTGAAAGGGTAGGGTCCTATTTCTTTTTGTCTAAACAAATGGAGAGGAGGCAGGAAGGACAATGAGGCAGGTCAATGGCAGTTTATATGACATCTAAACCTTGATGTGAAGAAGGGAAGCCAAGAGGATACCTATCTTTTTAAGCACATGGGGCAATGTGCTCTGTAAGAAAGGCACTCTGAAGGGGTCTGGGGTGGGTGTATGTCAAAACAAAGACCTACCTGATGGGTTAGGCTGAAGCCAGGAAATCATTGCTGAGGCCAGTTGCTGAGCATGAGGATGGTCCATAAGACTGACTCTGTTAGTACTGTCTCAACCTTTGATTGTCACCTCTTCTCACTCAACCTTAGTACCTACTGAGTACATGGCCCCCTGCAGGACTTTACTATCTATTTGCTGAAGGAAAGGAAACAGGTTTAATCCTTAACTTCTTGTCATTGAAATTGGGCTCCAGGAACTAGGTACCCCTCGGTAGTCTGTGAATTCAGGGCTTCATCCAGCCTGCTGGTTAGAATCTGTCTTTTAGCAAGTTCTCCAGGGAATGCCTGGCTACCTCATATTGGAGAAATGTTGCTTTTACAGGCGCCACCCCCCTCTTGGGCTGTGGCCAGGCTTCTCATCTGCTGGATGGCAAATGGAGTTGTGTGTGTGGGTCAATCAATTCCATCACATTTGGCAATTATGACACCTGATTCCACTCTAAGGGAGACAAATGGGTAGAGTCACAGGGACATGACCCCAGCCACAGCTGCAGAAGCTGCCAAGTGTAAATGGCAGGCCAAATGACACTACTTCTTTCTCTTCCCCTTGTGACAACTCTGTTAACATTTTTGATAAATATGTGTTATACATTTTCTTGAAAATATGGAGTCATGGGGAAAATGCTAGAAGAAACACATCAAAAATATTATGGTTATCTTGGAATGTCTGAGAGGAAGGATTATGGGCAATAGTATTTTTCCCATGCATTTTTCTGGATCTTCCAGGTATTTTACAACAAAATGTTTTAGTTTATAATAAAGAAATAAACTTAAAAAAAATAACAATGATCTGGCTTTGGCTGGAAGGAAGCATGTACCCACAAAACAGATGAGAGTGTGGATCCCCAGAATGGAAGGGGAAGTAATCTACCTGCATAGCTACTGAGTGGGTGAAGGGGATGATGGAGGGACTCCTGGCTTCTTTAAGGAGCTGAAAGGGTAGGGTCCTATTTCTTTTTGTCTAAACAAATGGAGAGGAGGCAGGAAGGACAATGAGGCAGGTCAATGGCAGTTTATATGACAGTTTATATGTCATTGAGGTCAGGACACATGGGGCATTAGCATGTGCTCTCCACTGGTTACACACCTATGATGTCTCCCTTGGATTTGGTAATGTTTTTAATCTGAAAAGCATGTGTGTGGACAGGTGTTACATCACAAATAAGGAAACTGAGAACCCTCTTGCATCACAGTAAGGTGGTGGTAGTACCCTGGACCTCTTTGGTTCTTCTAAGCCCCTCTGTTCAAGGAGAGTCTACAGCAAGGTTTAGTGCACAGAGCAGCCAAAGTGGAAACTCATGCAACAGGTGGGTGTGGCCTGCACTGTTCCAGACCATGAGGAGGGCTCTGAAGTCAGACTGAGCCTGAAGCGCTGCTCAACTGCAGATGACTGCTTTAGTTCCCTGCTCTCTGTGACCATGAAATAGGTTCATCCTGGGAGAGAGTACCTGGCACGGAGCAGATGCTCCTGTCAGCTGCTGTTCCCATCATGGTGATGGCTTCCAGCATCAGCGATGTTACAGAGAAAACAGTAGAAATGCCAGAAATAATAGGGCCAAGAGTGAGAGAAAGGATTTCTGTTAAGACTGTTGCCAAGAGCTGGTAGAAAAATGGGATGAATTCTCTTTTTGAATGAAGCCTTCCTTCCTAGCAACTGGCTTTAGGCTTCTGTGGCACACGTGGATGTTCTCCAGAAAAGCTGGTCAGAGCAGCTTTTCAAAGATGGCTGAAAAGGCCACTGGGTCTCATGCTCCTGACCTTGGTACCCAACTCTGGGTGTCCTGAAGCTGAGAGCTGCTTCCAGAAATCCACGATGACAAGCTATGGAGGAGTGGAAGATGCCCCAAGCCACAGTAATGGGCTGTATCCTGAGGTCTCCAAGCTCTAGCCACAGCTTTGTTCCCCACATGCTGTGTGACCCTGAACAAATCAATCACCTTCTCCCTACCTTCATTTTCTCAATTGTAAATCAGGGCATGGCCTGCCTAACCTAGGTCCCAGCTGGGAAGTACATATCAAAAAACTTTCAAAAGGTATTTGCAAAATTACAGAGCACAGAGGCACTGCTGGAAATGCCTTGGGCACAAATAATTAGACATATGCATATAGACTGCTGCCCAGGGCCCTGTGGGCAATCCTGGTTGCATTTTGCTGTGAGAATTCTGAGAAAGACTGGGAACAAAGAATCTGGAGGCAAGCAACATGCCACCCTACAGCCCTTCATGGGGCTGGGGATGCAGTTCACTTGGCAGGATGCTTGTTTAACACACAAGAAGTTCCAGGCCCCCATAAAACTGGGTATAGTGGTTCAGGCCTTGGTTACATAGTAAGTTGGAGACAAGGCTCAGATACACAAGACCTTGCTTCAAACATTTAAAACCTACCACAACTCCATTATCATTGAGACACTTCTTTTGGAGTCTTTCCATAAAATGTAAGACTTTTTTTTTTTGAAATTGAAAAATGAGTGTCGATTGCTTTACTTCAGATGTATATAACTGCTTTTTAATTTCCATGGGGCCCAAAAGACTTGGGGAACACTGTTGAGTTTTTAAAGTTATCTGACAAAACTCCTCAGAGGTCAGTGTGTCTGTGGTCTGTGTATCGGAGTCCCTGGTCTGGGCCCCACCACATCCCAGGCTTGACAGCCTCCCATCCAGGGGTCACCCAGTACTTCATTCTCTGCACCTGCTTTGGACTTCCCCTGCTTTGCAGATTAGATACTTGCAATGCTCCTGTGCTGTAGGCATTAGCACATTTTCTAGCTCACTGCAGGTGCTCTGTAAGTGTGTGGTTTCCCTGGCAGAAACTGAGAGCTTAGCTGCTGGGAAGACACATTCAAGTGAAGTAATCATTGGTGGGGAGTCTACGCTGCTCCCAGATATCAGCGTGGCCACAACTGTTGGCTTTTCTTTATAGTGCTCAAGTTTCCCAACTTACCCATTCATTTTGGTCACTACTCAGTGAGCACTTATCCCTGTGCCAGGAATCAGGAGAGATTCTGGCACCGAAAAGATAACCAGACTCATCTGCCCACAGACAGGAAGTGAGACCTGGAAACTACCCCCATAATGAATACTTGATACATGCCTGCTAGGATGGTTGAAATAAAAAAAAAAAAAAAAAAAAAAAAAGAAAGAAAGAAAGAAAGAAAAAAAAGACAGATAATAGCAAGTGTTAGTACAGAGAAGAGAAAACAGAACATTTGTATATTACTGGTGAACATGTAAAACAGAATAGCCACTTTCAAAGAAATTTTGACACTGGTTCAAGATGTTACGTGTAGTGTTACTGTATGAGCCAGGAATTCTACCTAGGTGTATATAGAGAGAATTAAACACTTATCTGTGCACAAACTGATATGTGAATATTCATAGCAGTATTATTTATAATAGGGCCAAATTGAAAACAATATAAATGGCCATGGATCGATGAGTAAATAGGAAAACGGGTAAATCCATACAATGAAACAATGTTATGCAATAAAATGCAGGGTTGGTTTGTGCCATGGTATGGATGAACCTCAAATATACTAAGCTAATTGAAGAAATTAATTTTAAAAACATGTTTTATGAGGTTTAGCTTATATGCAATGCTCATGGAGGTGTAGCTGTAGAAATAGAAAGATCAAGACAAAAGGGATGGAGGAAAAATGCAGAGATTGGAAGACATTTATTTTTTTGGGGGGGTGTGGTAAAATGTTATAAATGTTATAAAATTCAACTATGGTATTGGTTGTACAACCCTGTAAACTATTCTACAGAACTGACGTGTGACCCACTTAAATGAGTGGGTTACATAGCATATGGGATACATCACCAAAGTCACGAATAACATGTTTTGGAAATGATTTTGAGTGGATACACCCACTTGAGTTGGTAGGGTCGGGAAGATGAAGAGAACAGCTGCACTCTTTGGAGAGGACCAGATGAGGGTCCCTGGAAGAACGGACTGTGGAGGAGACTCTTGAAGGAGCAGAAGGGATTCAAGAAAGGAAGTGTGTTCTAAGCAGGGACCACTTGAGCAAAACCAGGGAGGTACCAGGGAGCCACAAAGTGGTTTGATACGGCTGCAGCTGGGACACAAAGGAGACGAGAAGGAAGAGCAAGGAGGGGCTTGGAAAGTGAGGGCTGTGTAGGCACAGAGATGTCTAATGTCACACAACAGGGTTGAGCTCCATCTTGTTCATCTCCTCTGGGCCTGATGATACCAAGAGAAAAACTTAAAAGATGTTAATTTTTGTTTTTAAAATATGTATGTGTATGTGTGCATGCTTGTTTGTATATGCATGGCTTGTATTCCCACAGAGGAGGGTATCAGATCCCCCAGAACTGGAGTTACAGGCAGTTATAAGCCATCCAGTATGGGTGCTGGGAACTGAAGCCCAGTCTTCTGTAAGTGCAGCAAGTGCTCTTAACACCTAGTCATATCTACAGTCCATTATTTGGTTTTTAACAGGTGTGGTGTCTGACCATGGGTGACTGTGGTATTTCTAGACCTCATATCTTAGCTCTACATTTTAGGAATTGTGTTTCCAGGAGAGTAGTCACAAGAGTCAATGTCAGAAAGGCCACCCAGGCTTGCATGTTTGGCATGATGGGAATATGAAAGGGCTATAGGCATGGGTGGCTAGGATTTAGCAGGATCAGAACCACTCCTGCCAACTTACTGCATAGCTGGCCCTCATCTTCTCCTTGGCCACAGTCCTGGTGGAAGTCACAGGCTTGTCCAAGCTGGAGGACCGTCCCATTCCAACAAGTGAAGGAACTCTGCAAGGCCATCTTGGAGCCTGGTGATGTTCCTAGAGGACACACAGATAGACACATGCTCCTTGTTAGTCTGGGTGGCTTAAGGCATTGGCTGGTTTTGTGGAAAGACTGCTCTACAATTATAACCCAAGACCTGACACACTCAAGGCCAATGGGAAGCATCAAAGCACCTCAGACACATTCATACTCTACCCAGGATCTCACACTCCACCAATGTGTTGAGAGTTGGTCCATATTCTCTGAACATTTTAGGACCCTTGGATCCATGATTTTCATGTAGCAGAACCTCTTGGTGGAGGCCCCACCCCACACATCTCTACCCTCAAGGTAGAATTTGGGTGTTCAACAGGTATATCTGATCCAGTATAATCTCCCTAGGCTCTGACATCAGATCCTGGTATTGGAGTCACTTACTGAGCAGGTTTAGAAAGTATATGCACTTTCTGCTGTGAGGAGCAACACATATCATTATGGAAGATGGACCTGACACTTCCGTGACTGGCTAGGCTGACGATGTCCTTTCTCTATCTGGCCATTGTCTCTTCTATGGAAGCATGGATTTTGGCTATATTACTAAGATGTGCTCCAGTCCCAAACCCCTTAAAGGAGCCACAATTTCAGGGAAAGAAGGGAGGGCTGGGTCTTATAATGTACATGTTAGCAGTTTTGAGTTTCTGAATGAATAGTGATGTATTCTGATAACTAGCCAGCCTGCTGCCTAGCAGATGGAGTGAGGAGATGGAGCAGGCTGACCTGGCATCATCTCCCTTCTGAACAGAGAGGAGCAAAGGTTTGGCTTGTGCTTCCTGATATTTAGCTCTCAGTGTGGGGTGGCTGGCGGTGGTCCCAGTGGAGATGAGATGCAGGGTCCACTTGGCGTGACCCTCAGGTGTGGCTGCATTATCTTCTACTCCTAACCATGGCAGCTGGAGCCTTAACAGGCTTCACACCTGCTCCTGCCACCCCTGTGCTCCTGATGGCCTGGGCTCTGCCTCTTTGAGACTCACAGCCAGGTGAGCTTCTCCAATTCTGTCTTAGAAGCCAGATATACTTGATTATGATGTGCGCTCACCCACAGCTGATATTTAATAAAAACAACCGCAAATTTCAATGATTTTTTTAGTTCACTGGAGTGCTCCCCATGGCACAGAAACTAACACCACACTGAGCCTGTTTACCTCTATAATTCTTCTGCCTACTTGGCACACTGAGCTCAATATGGCTTCTATGCTGGTCTTACTGGTGCTCATCTCAACTTCCTAAGCAAGGAAACTGAATTTGGAGAAGTTTGGTGAGTAGCCTAAGGTCTCACAGCCAACATGTGAGACTCAAATCCAGTCTACTGGGTTGCAAGGCTGCTCTCCCCATCTCATGGAAGGGACTGCCTAGGGGTGACTCTAGACCTCCATCTGTAAGCTAGGCCAGGCAGAGACAGCTCTGTTTATCAAATGATGCAGGTGTTATGGTGCAGCCATTTCCCCTGAATTCAAATACCCTCCCCTGTCGGAAAGACAAAGGCTCCCAAGATTTAGGAAGCCTAGCAAATTCACAGGGTCCATCTCTAATTATGCAAAGGGCAAACAACAGTTATGGAGCAGAAACCCTTCAGTGTTGCTGACTGCAAAGTGAGCAGGGACAATAGGATTTGTTTCATTACTCATGCAGAGATGGGCCATTCAGTGATGCAATTGCCTTTAATTCACCCACACTCCTGTAAGTAACCTCAGTGAACTCATCTACCCATCAAGCCAGACTTAGGCACAATTGTTTCTTAAGTATGTCACCAGCACTCTGTCTGGGGTGACTCGACATTCACATTTCCTCAGGAAAAGTCACACAACAGATGGTCACTTGACATGGTTATGCTGGACTCCAGCCTGGCTGGGACTGCTCTGTAACTTCTGGAGACAGGAGAAAAGGCTTTGTGTCCTTTCACAGAATCCAATGTAGGCTCTGTAATCTGTTCCTGAAGGTTCTAAGATGAGGACTGAGTCGCCTCTCTGTCTTATCTCCTCTAGCTTCTTTTCATGAGCCTACAGTCACACATGATGGTGCATTCATGTGTTACACGTGTAGGTCCAGCTCCAAGACTTTACTTGTGATGCATTCCCAGAATGCATCTGGCCTTGGCTATAGAGGGTTCATGAGCACCTGTGCTCAGAGGTTATTTCTAGAACACACTGATTGATACAATGGTCCCCAAGTCCTAATAGGGGACGCATTTTATTGACTATGGTAAAGAGACATTTTACTTGGCTGCTGTGATCAAACCTTTTAGGTGGCTTGATCCTCCTGGATTGTTTGCAGTGGAGGGGCAGTGGGATATGTAGGGTCCTTATTGGAGGGAAGCAGGAGAGTCTGTAAGAAACAGGAATTGTGGATCATTTGGGTATCTTGTGGTAGACTGATTCCTATTTTCCTGAGGAACTGCCATATAGATCTTAAAAATGGCTGTCCAAGTTTGCATTCCCACCATCTTCTCCAGCCTAAGCTGTCATTGGTATTTCTAATTTTAGCCATTCTGACAGGAGTAAGATGGTATCTCAGAGTTGTCTGGATTTGCATTTCCCTGATGGCTAAGGATGTTGAGCACTTTCTTAAGTGTCTTTCAGCCATTTTGGATTCCTCTATTGAGAATTCTCTATTCATTTCTGTACCCTACTTTTTAATAGGGTTATTTGGTGTTTTGGTGACAAGTTTCTTGAGTTCTTTGTATATTTTGTCAGTTGTGGGGTTGGTGAAGAGCTTTTTCCAGTCTGTGGGCTGCTGTTTGGTCTTGTGGACTCTGTCCTTTGCCTTACAGAAGCCTCTCAGTTTCAGGAGGTCCCATTTATTAATTGTTGATCTTAGTATCTGTGCTACTGGAGTTATGTTCAGGAAGCGGTCTCCTGGACCAATTTGTTCAAGGGTACCTCCCACTTTCTTTCCCAAGAGGTTCAGTGTGGCTGGATTTATGTTGAGGTCTTTGATCCATTTGAACTTAAGTTTTGTGCATGGCGATAGACATGGCTCTATCTGCAGTCTTCTACACACCATCATCCTGTTGTGCCAGCACCATTTGTTGAAGATTCTTTCCTCCACCATGCAACAAAGACATCTGTTCAACTATGTTAATAGCACCATTATCTGTAATAGCAAGAACCTGGAAGCAACCTAGATGACCCTCAACTGAAGAATGGATAAAGAAACTGTGGTACATTTACACAATGGAGTAATACTCAGGGAAAAATAATCAATGGAATCTTGACATTCACAGGCAAATGGAGGGAACATGAAGAAACCATCTTGAGTGAGGCAACCTAGTCACAAAAAGAGGAACATGGTATGTACTCACTCATATATGGATTTTAGACATAGAGCAAATAATCACCAGCTTATAATTCATACCCCCAGAGAAACTAGAATACAGAAATTCATACAAGGTTCCTCACAGAAGGGGAAAGGAACAAGATCTCCTGAGCATATTGGGAGTGGTGGTGGTGGGGGGGACAGTGAGTAGAGAGGGAGATAGGAGAAAGAGAAGGGAAGAGAGGAGAACATGTGGGACCAGGAAGACTGAGTCAAGGGATGAATACATGAGAGCATAAAAATGAGATACTATAATAGAGGGAACAATTATAGGTTTGAAGAGAAAACTGACTCTAGAGAAATGTCCAGAGACCTACAAGACTGACCCCCAACTAACAATCTGAGCAACAGTGGAAAGGCTACCTTAAATGCCCTTCCCTGATAATGAGATTGATAAATCAACTTATATGCCATCAAAGAGCCCTCATCTAGTAGCTGATGGAAATAGAAGCAGACATCTACAGCTAAACACTGAGCCAAACTCCTGGAATCCAGTGGCAGAGAGGGAGGAGTGATAAGGAAAGCGGTCAAGACCAGGCTACAGAAACCACAGAGGCAGCTGACCTGAACAATGGGAGAGCTCATGGACCCCCAGACTGATAGCTGGGAAACCAGCATTGGACCGACATGATGGGTCTCAGTCAGAAGGCCTGGGCAGTCTAAGAAACCTCTGAGAGGATGTATCCCTGGTTCATGAAAGAATTTTGGGAGCACATTCCTTATGGAGGGATACTCCTTTAGGGGAGAGGCAGGAGGGAGGGCCTAGACCCTACTCCAAATGACTTGACAGATTTTGATGATCCCTTTTGGAAGGCATCACCCTCCCTGTGGAGTGGGGGGGATGGAACGGGAGGAGAGTCAGGAGGGCATGGAAGGGAACTGGGATCAATATGTAAAATAAGAAAAAATAATAAATATTAAAGAAAAAAGAAAAGAAACAGGAATTGTAATGGTGGTTCTCAGATCACAGAGGCAGGGGACCTGTTCCCTCCTCTGTTCCTTCGAACAGGCCCTTCCAGATAGCAATGCCTAGAATGTGCTGGGGCTACAGGCAGAACTGGTGCCAACTAGCCCCTTGTTCCTCCAAACACCTTTCATCCAGGAATTGCATTGGTTCCTCTCTAACACTTGCCTCAGCTAAGTCTGGTAAGACGATGCTAGCTGGCCGTGGACCAATTCCTTGGTGGTGCACGGCATCTTCTCCACTCCCTATTTTCTCACAAGGGACTTTAAGAGAACGAACTCTGCCCTCCTGCTGCTCTGTCAGATAATAAACTCTTCCCCCAAGATCGATCCGAGTCTCTCTCTCTCTCTCTCTCTCTCTCTCTCTCTCTCTCTCTCTCTCTCTCTCTCTCTCACACACACACACACACACACACACATGTGCGCGCCTCCCCCAACTTAAAAAGGAAAGCATAAATTTCAGAATGGGAGGAGGGAAGATTATGGTCCAAGGACCACAAAGACCCCATAGAGGCGTGAAGAGGCAGGGGAACAGCCATGTCCAACTGCATGCTTATAGAAACTTTCCAGGGAAGTCTCAGTTTCAGACGGCTTTGCACATGTCCAGCAAAAGCAATTTCATAGCTTGGCCCTCAGGAGTAATGAGAGAATAAATTTGTGTTGTTTGCAGACATTAAGCTTCTGGTAGTTCATTACAGCAGGGACAGTCCAAAACCAGCTC